CCCCCGCCCCTTGCCGCCACCCTCCCCCTACCCTCCATCTGCGATAGTGGGCGTGTCCTAATCTGATGTGTACGCAACTGCGTGTCTGCATATCTGCGCCTAACAAATGTGGTACTACGCACGACTGAAATTTTACGTTTATAATCGTAGCAACAGACCTCAGATGAGCCCAGACGCTCTGCGGCTCTTGTTTGTGGTGAGCTACAGTGTCATTGACACTTTCATTATTTAATGAAATAAAGGCTGCATTGTTGCTGGCAGCATCCTCAGGTTTATCATCTGTTTGTGATATCTCAAGAACATAAATTTAGAATGTCAGGTCATTGTGATAAATAAGACTCATTCTAAATTTGATGTGGAATGTAATTATAAAAACTCAGAAGAGTCAGGTTTCAGTTGCTTACAGTGCCATGGTAGCATGGACCCATTTTAACACCTGTGTTGTTTAGCATTGATGTATGGTTTATATTATTTTATTGGAAATATCGCAAAATGCCAACTTCGAAATATCAGTGAAACTGAAGAGTAGCTCTGGTGAACTTTGACCCAAAAGATTTGAGCTAAAATGTCATATACACTGAAGGAAGCGACCTGTGGTGTCCATATCTGGGAGAATTAGTGCCTTAGTAGAAAAATAACGCTCAAGTTTGTGATAGTGGGTAGTTACAGTACCAGCAGTAATAGCAATGTTAGCAGTTAGTGCCAAAAGAACACTTACACTTGTAATGTGTAAATCGTATGTGGCACATGTTTATTCTTCATCGCGTAGCCAGCCAAATGCAGTTTTCTCTGGGGTGCTGCTTATATATTTTCTAAATTGCTTCCTAAATTTAAATTTAGTAAAAGTTGAGTTGACACAAAATTTAGACAATAGCCGCTGCCTGCTTTAATTCATTTTACGTGCCTGCCATATAGATATGTTATTATTTTCAGTTCTGTCAGTAGCCATCCCTTGGTTTTCTCAAGTGAGTGATTTACATATTAGATTTTGCTGAGAATCGCCCACTAGAGCATCGTGTACATTGATCGGAAGTGCCAAGATCCTATCTACTATCTACAATCCGAATATGAAACCACATGGCCCACTTCATCTCTGTTGCTATTTCGAATCGGCTGCAATCTTAAAGTAGCAGACGACCAATTATTGTCAACATTTATTTGCCAGAAGCAGTGAATGCTTGATTCAATAACATTAAGTAAATGTTTTTTCCCTTAGGGTATTGGGGCTTCGCTGATCAATAAAGTTGTACTTGTTCTGTACATCAGTAAAAACGAGTGGGGCATGAATAGTTTATGTGGACATGCCGTGGCATCACCGTGCTTTCTTGATAGGGTTGCTAACAACCGTTGACCAGAAGGTGAGGCTTATTGCTTGGCAACGCATTTATTCTAGTAATGACACCTTTGTGTATTGTATTTTTAGCTCACCTTGACATCGTCAAGATGAGCTATTGCCATGGGTCGTCGTCCGTCGCACGTCCGTCGGTCGGTCCGTCCGTCCGTCAACATTTGGCTACGGTCAACGATAACTCGGGAACCGTTTGACTCACATGTTTGAAATTGGGTATAGTTGTTACTGCTATGCTCCCATATTGAACGTCCTATTTTGGAGCACGCCAGTCGACGTACTTTCGAGCCACAGCAATTTTTTGGCAAAAATGGGAATTGCCATTAGTCAGTTCAGGTTCAACGGATTTTGATATTAAAAAAAAAAAAGGAAATTAGGTAGGTTTTGGCAATTATATAGCATATTGTGTTATAGACATGCAGATAACAGTCTGAGGTGTCACACTCGTCTGGTTCGTTTTACAAGATTTCATTGACAATATTTTTAATGCAAAATTGGTATTTCCTCTCCACCCTGCCGATAAAACGTTTATATTAGAGTAAAGTTTTACAAAACATGTCGGAACGCAGCATAACCTATTTATTTCGATCGCCTTGGCAACTTGTACCGAAGTGTGACGTCACGGTGGCATGACAACGAACCCACTGGTTCTAAACAACCCACTGGCTCCATAGCATTAACTGCGTGAAAATGTTGTGCGTACGTAAAACACGAGTGTGTGTGCTGCAGACAGCGGTAAAGCATCGGTAGCAAGTCGATCTTACAATATTTAATTATTATTTTATTTTTTTTTTATGATTATGATTTTTGTTTTCGTTGCTTTTCACTTCCATCCTTTGGAAATTTATAAAAACTGCAATAATGACTCTCAGAATGATGGTTACAATCGGGTACAAAACACGACCATTTTCACGCAGTTAATGTTACCAGAGCATATGATTGTTTAGAACCAGTGGGTTCGTTGTCATGCCACCGTGACGTCATCACTTCGGAGCTCTATCGCTAAGTAACATCAGAGCGGGTATAGCGCCATCTACCGTCACAAATTGTGATTCATTTTGGTTTATAAATTATTATTGCGATATACAGATGGCGTTATCACGGTTGTGTGTTACCGCCTAGAAAAACACTTCCATGCAACCAATTAATCTTTGACAAAAGTTGTGTTATGGGCAGGGAAACACCATTGTCACGTGGTATATAGCAGCTACGTGGAATAAGCGTATCCTCTCAATCTTACACGTTACACATCGGGAGCTCCGCTTTTAGGCAGTGGTAAATCTGAATATTATAAAAACGTTAAATGGCGATCATTTAGGTGTAACACCATCACTCGCCCACATCTCAGACTTCCACATCTCAAACATTTATTTTCACATAAAAAAATACACATAATTATCAAGAGTATATAATGGGCGTTTACCCTAACCCTAACCCATATATACTCTTCGTTTCTATAATGTACGTCGACTGTTGCTCAATTAAAACTGACTTCTTCTCACTCACTCATTTGTGTCCTTTTTTGTGATGAGCTACAGAGTTGACACTTTCATTTACAATGGCAGTGTGGCAGTACGATTTTTTATTGCATAGTGGTGGCTAGAGCTCTCGTGGTGGCTAATCATTTAGCTTGATCAGGCATACCGTTTCCGTCCCTACACTCAAGAGACCAAACCAAATGGAAACCAATGATCATGCATCTCAATGAGCACTGTGCTAATTTTTTATCCCCCAGACTGCTAGCAATTCAGCATTAAATGGGCTCGCTCGTATTCACTGTCAAATATGAAGTCCAGGCGTTCCAACCAGGCATAATTCCCTAGTGCTTCATTTACAGTTTTTATCTTTGCTCTCTCGTGTTTGCCGTGGGGTTTTGATATCACTCTTGTTTGTGCACTTTAATGACGATGAAGTTTATTACTGACAAAACAAGAACTGTAGCGTGTTGGCGATGCGTGTACAAGGCTGTCCATCACTAGACAGATGATATGTCCTGGTTCGATATTTCAGTGCAACGGCCGAAATAATATAAGTAATCGAGGAAGTCCTTCCCTTCCGTAAACGTCAGTCGTGCGGTATTGGTGGTACGTAAACACGCGCGCGACTACACAGCGGCAGCATGCACGAGGCTCGAGGCCGGCCATAATCATAGATATCCTATAATACATGGTGTGTATATATATAAATATATAAATATTAATATAATATATATATATATA